GGCCTTGCGACGGGCTGATCCCCCGTCCAAGGAACCATTCGGGCTGCGTATAGGATTAAGAAATTAAAAAGCGACCAAGCTCCAAAGGGCTATAAAGCAAAAGAGAAAGAAAGAAAGTTACAGCCAGCAAAGTAAGCCTACATCAACTTTCTGTAAGGACAAGTTTTCTTCTTTAGACAAATATTTAACTACAATTTATCAACTAAAATCCATCTATCATACGAACCAGAGTGTGTCATACCTTGTGTAGGCAATCTTTCGGAAGATAAATTCTGTGTATTATTATTATTATTACAGGGGGTGGGTTTCCCCATGCACTTAGACCAGTTAACCATTGTTAACGTTCCCACCTCATGACTCGTAGTACGCGGGTTCAAACCCGGCGGGGGTCGTGGAATTTTTAAGGGCGGAAAAATTCAGGGAACAAGTCCTCCGGGAGGGTCTTTAAGCCGTGGGTCCCGTGTCGTAGCTTTACGGCACGTAAAAGAACCTCATATCTCCTAAGTAGGTCACTGAGCCAAATTCAAGGACATTTCCCGCCCAACAGTAGTCTCTAACGCCTCTGATAGACGGGGGAAGCATTATAGATACCGCCAAGCCAGTAGAGGCCGAACTCGCTGGCTTGGTCGGGACTGATGGTAAGCACCAGTATCGGTAGGGTATAGAGACTGGTAGAATATCATAGAGGGAAGCACAATGGACCAATACTGGTCTCAGTGCATGGGGAAACCCACCCTCTCTAAATAACTAATAACTGACTTGGTCCATGGTGCGTCCCCCTTTAATTTCTACTGTCCCCATATCCTACCGGTACTGGTGCGTGCTATCAGCCCCGTTCAGCCAACAAGGTCGGCCGTCGGTACCTGATATTTCCCCCATCTACCAGAGGCATTGGAGACTACTTGGGCGGGAAATTGTTGCCTAATAATTTTGCTCGGAGGTCTCCTAGAGACATGAGGATCTTTTACGTGCCGTAAATCTACGACACGGGACTAAATTCTGTGTAAGTATGTAAGATGTAGATTCTAAATGGTTCTGAAGATGGCATATAACACTCAGAATCACTGAATTTCTTTGACTTTCTCCATCGTTCGGTATTTTAAAAAATTCTGAGCCCAGCGTTTCGGAAACTATATCTGTTTCCGTCCTCAGGTGAGGGGGAGACACCTACTCTGTCAGGTCCGTTAGAAATGGCTACCCTCAGTCAATGGACTTTGATTGAGGTTAGCTGTTTCTAAGGGACCCAACTCAGTAGGTGTCTCCCTTTCACATGAGGATGGAAACAGATACATTTTCCGAAACGCTGTGTTCTGAATCTTTTACAATGCCGGACGGTGGACAATGTCCAAAAGCCCAGTTATTCCGAAGCATGAACACCGGAAATATGTTAACTTTGTAATGATGACGTCAGAAATGGCGATGACGCGCCTCGTTCCCGTAGTAGATAGAGTCCAAGTATACAGACGCCACTGTGACGTGCGTGAGATAATGAGATTGTGATAAGTCGGGTGGAATGTGACAGTAAACGGTCGTCTCGTGAAGTGACAGTGAAAAGTCATTAGAAACTTCATAAAGTCCCTAACAATACATTCAGGACGGCTCTCCTTTCGGACTGATTTCACGCTGGTTTCTTCTTATTATTCTTCGACCCTGAAGATGGAGGTTGTATGTTCCTCCGAAACATCGGAACTCTGACCACTAGACCACAGAGGCGGTTGTCCATATGAGGAAACGAACATGAAAGTCTCCATGTTAGCAATCCGGCATTCTGTACAATATCAAGCCCAAGGGTATATTTCGCCGAAAAGGTCTATCCGATTCAGAGATATACAGTCGAAGATCGGAGAAAGCAGAGACGAGATTTACCACTGTCTCACGAATTGTCCATTATTACATCTTAAGCAGGAATATCATGCTCAGAAATTGAGTGGCTTTTGATCTAGAAATGAAGAAAACCACAGAGATATTTCAGTTAGGAAAGCCCGTAGTCGAGCCAAAATTCAAATTTCTGCCTCTTCAGTATAAATATACTCGTAGAGCGTTACAGCAACAAAAACCTGTTCAGTTTTGCTGGGCATTATATACAAGTCTTAAAAAAAGGTTAAGCTCTTCCTGTAACAGGCCGTGAAGGCCCATAGTGTTGTGAGATGTCGAGGCTCCCGCATTTTCTAGACCATTCATTCATTCATTTATTTTAATATTCCATGTAGGATGTAGAACATGTCAGATTACTATATCGGCTCATAGATGGCGGTAAGTTTGTCAGCCATACGCGACGGCCTCCCTTTACCCCCCTGGAAGATTCCTGGTACTCATTTCGGTTAGAGGACGAGTCGACTCCAGGGCTATAGTGCGGCTGGAAGGATTAGGTCAATTGAAAGAATCAACCTTATCGGGACTCGAACCCGCGACCTTCCGGCTTGTACCATACTGCCTCAACCAACTACGCTACCGCGTACTTCCATATACAAGTCTTACGAAGTGTTAATAGCGTAAATGGGGCCGTCTACACAACAATGATACCTACAGGATGAATACAAAAGTATTGTTAGTGGGGTGGGACTAAGTCCCTTGTACTGCGGCCACTTCTGGCCTATTGTACCGGCTCCAGATGATAGGTGAGGGTGATTGTGGAGCAATTGGTGGAATGAAGATTGGCAGGGGAAACCGAAGTACTCGGAGAAAACCTGCCCCAGCACCACTTTGTCCACCACAAATCCCACATGACCAAACCCGGCCTCGAACCAGGGCAGCCGCGGTGGGAAGCCAGCGACTAACCGTTTGAGCTATGGCACGGCCTCATTTCCAAGTTTGGTTTTGTTTTTGATAGTGAATACAACTTTGTAAAATGTAACAATGCACACGCATCATTGTTGTGTAGATGGCCCCATTTACGCTATTGTACACACACAACAGAACGCATACCATAAAGATTACGATGTGTTGAAAATATAAATTTAAAGTAGGTATAAAGAATGCCTGTAAACACCATAAATATACTTCTCGTGAAGCGCAGAATAATGATGGCGAAATTCATGTGTAGTTCACAAGTGTTCTGTTTATCTGGTAGGACTGGAAACACATGGCCGACCTCACATATTGGCTGCGTTAGTTCAAGGTCACGTGATGTAAAGGTTTCAGTACCCGCATGTTCTGTCTCTGCCTTCATACGAGTGAATGCAAACACACTTTATAGCGTCGCAAAAGGAAATTAAACGGCTTCCTCAGAAAGTACTGTATATTTGTGAAGATAACTGGCCGACCAGTTTGACGCGTAATGGCATCAGAGTAACAGCAATTCACATTATAACAACACATCCAGTGGAGAAGAATAACTGAAATCCAATTTAGTTAATAACCACTTGTCAGTGCCTAGCTAAATAATGTTGAAGTGTCAGAGCTATGTTCCATATTTCTTAAAATATTAGCATAACTGAAAGCCTTGAATTCATTAACACAGAATTACAACGTATTAAGTTAACACGCATGTGCCCATGTGAAACTTTATACGTAAGAAGATGCTGGATGACCTTGGGGACAGAAGAGGATGTTCTCATTTGAAGGAGAAAGCTCTAGATCGCATCAAGTGGAGGAACTGTTTTGGAAGACACTGCGGACCTGTCGTCTGACAGATTACTGATGAATGAAAACACCCTACACTTTGCTTTAATAATTATTTTGTTAGGTCAATTTATGGACGCAATACGAACTTGGAGGTGTAGGGTGACAGATGGTAAGAACACCTGATTACCGAATCGATACGAATGTAAGAGAAAGGTAAGGTAAAACTATCCTGTAAGGGGATATAGAGTTCCATAGTGTTGTGAGAGGTCGAGGCTCCCACAATCGGCTCGTAGATGGCGGTAAGGTTGTCAGCTTTACGCGCTGGCCGCCCTTTACCCCCAGGGCGATAGTGCGACTGGAAGGATTATGTCAATTGAAAAATCCAATGACCTACTCGTGAATCGAACCAGCGACCTTCCGGCTTGTAGCTTAGTACTTCAACCAACTACACTACTGCGTGCCCCGAATGTAAGAGAAAGCAAAAGCTGAAGAAAGCAGTCTTCTGGAATGTGGCGCCGTGTAGATATTGTGTTAACCGACGTTTCGGAGGAACGTATCGCCTCCATCTTCAGGGTAGAAGAATAAAGAAGAAAATTCGCTAACACCTGCTCACGCTGGTTCTTCGCTTGCGGATTGTTTCTTTTTTCTTCTACCCTGAAGATGGAGGCGATACGTTCCTCCGAAAAGTCGGTTAACGCCTGCTCACGCTACTTTTTCGCTTGCGGAAATATACGAAATATTTCACAGAGTAAAAGATAATTTAATTAGAATGATCAAATCAAGGAGGATGAGATGGACAGGGCATGTAGATCGAATGGGGGAGAGGATGAATGCATATAGGATATTGGTGAGAAAGCCAGAAGGAAAGAGACTACTGGGAAGACCAAGGCGTAGGTGAGTGAACAATAATAAAATTGAACTTAGAGAGATAGGATGGGATGGTATGGATTGGATTGATCTAGCTCAGGATAGGGACCAGTGGAACACGGTAATGGACATTCGGGTTCCATAAAATGCTGGGAAATTCTTGAGTAGCTGCAGAATTGGCGGCTCCTCAAGAAGGGCTCAGCTCCATGATTAAGTAAGTAAAAAATAATTTGGGATACCTTGTTATAAATAGCAAGACAGCAGTAGAATTATTATTATTATTATTATTATTATTTTGGAGGGGGTGGGTTTCCCCATGCACCGCGACTAGTTGTTAATCTATTGTGCGTCCCCCCTTAATTATCCTACTAGTCGCCATGCCCTTCCAGCACTGGTGCTCGCTAGAATTAATCTTAAAGAAGTAACATATGAGGGTTTAAACTGGACTGATGTTACTCAAGACGAGGACCAGTGGTAGAATTTCTGTTTCCTAAGTCGACATTCGAACTGGATACAATTATAAAGTTTAAACCGAACTGTAATTCTGCTTATATCTTATTTTGTTTCAGGTGAGAAGCCTCACAAATGTGTGGTGTGCGGGAAAGCATTCAGTCAGTCGTCCAACCTCATCACCCACATGAGGAAACACACGGGGTACAAACCCTTCTCTTGTGGTCTCTGTGACAAGGCATTCCAGCGCAAAGTGGATCTACGGAGGCATCGCGACACTCAGCACCCATCGGCGTCCGCATCAGCGCCGCCACAACACTACACACAACGCGCTGCCCAGCAAGTCATAATCAGCAGCAGCAGCAGCTGAACTTGTCGCTACTGCATCTCCCTGATGATGGTCACTTCGCCTCAAGTCAAGTCTCGACGTTCGTCCGAAATTAGGATTCATCTCCCTGTTAGCTCAGTATTCGATCAGAGAAGCTACAGAATGATGAATGTATGTTCTGTCTTAATAATGCCAGAAATGGCAAGTTCAGTAAGGTAATTCCTTTCGATTTGTTTTGAGAGCGTTCCCGAAAACATTGCAATTGATATAACCGCGGTTAATAAAACGAAGGTCTTAGAGGAAATTTGACGTTAGAGGCAGCTGTAAGTTCTCATCAAAGCCTCTACTTTCCCTAAATACAAAAAAAAAATATAGTGAGACGGTTAAGAAATTGACATAAATATAAGAAGTGTTGCAAAGAGACGCATTATAATGGTAACCTGGGTGACGGACATGACGTAAGAGCCCTATCCCAAGAAATGTGGATCTTCCAGTGCAGAAGGAACCTACGTTTTCTGTATGTGTACAAATTAAAAGCGGCGGTTCCATATAACCAAATACTGAAGTTGGCAAAACTGGATACAAATGGAAATCTGCAGACACCTGAAATCTGTAATTTGAAAACTGCTTTTGGCAACAGATTTCTGTGTATAGGCTTCATATTTTAACCTCTAGGTCTTTAAATTTATTTCGGTTTTCGTATGTTCTGACGCAGAACACGGACGCACGTGATTAGGTTGTCTGATTCGTCTGTACTTTTACTCTGATATCGACTGATACGCTTGTGATGAAAGCGACTCCAACTCAGTTGCGTTTCAGGCACGACTCCTCGGGATTACGCAAATTGCAGTATTCAGGCTACATCCTGCTTTTGGTCGGACCACATTCAGGAAACTGCATCGGAAAACTCCTTATATTCTCTCGGCTTGTTATGGTAACCTCACAATCGAATGCTTCTGTTACAGACCTCTCATAGAGCCCATCAGGTGAGGACATGATGGGTCATGAACTACTTTTTTTTATTGCTAGTGGGTGGGACTAAGTCCCTTGTACTGGCGCCACTTCTGGCCTATTGTACCAGCTCCAGATGATAGGTGAGTGTGATTGTGGAGCAATTGGTGGAATGAAGATTGGCAGGGGAAACCGAAGTACTCGGAGAAAACCTGCCCCGGCGCCATTTTGTCCAGTACGAATCCCACTTGACCAGACCTGGGATCGAATCCGGGCCGCCGCGGTGGGAAGCCAGCGACTAACCACTTGTGCTGTGGCGCGGCCACATAAACTACTTACTAAAGTATGTGTGATGGCGGTGAATATAAATATCATGGCCTTCTGTAATGTGACACCGTGTAGCTTGGTAGATGTATACGAAAGTTGCAGAGGAACAGGACAGAAGAGCGGAGCCTTATGTTGCTATATTTTCTTTCCCAGAAACGCTGAAGACTCACTGAACACATTTTTCCCACAGCGCACTTCATGGGTACCGCTGGTTGTTTCCCGGGAATAAAACAGCAGGGTCGCTCCTGAATTATATATCAGTCAGTTATAGAGTTTTTGGATCCCTAATTCACAGAAGATAATGATAACCGTATCATAGCAAAGGTTGTAAGTCGCCAGCCTCTGACCCTGGCAGCCCAAGCTGCCGAAGTATCGAAGTACCCAGCGCCACTTTGTCCACCACAAATCCCACTTGACCAGACCCACCCGCGGTGGGAAGCCAGCGACTAACCGCTTGAGCTATGGCGCGGCCTTCATGAGCATCTAAATGAAAACATGCCTTGATCACATTTTGACTGCCAAATTTTTCGCACAAAACGCGATTATGGGGAACAGATACCGTGTTTTCAACATCAAATTAAACTTCAACTACATTGTCCATTGTCCCCAGCAAACGTCGCTACTTATCCCTGGGAAGTAGTGTTCTCTTTTCTGTTGGTACACGCAACACTGTTTATGAGCAGAATGTTTCAGTTTATTAAAATGCGTTGTTTATAAATTTAAAATTATCGCAAGTCTTTCAGTGACGAAAATTTGAAATATATGCACCGCATATATAATTGTCCTTAAAATGTCTGAAAACTTGACAAGTTAAGCAGTATCTTGACCTGTAGCACACACATCGTACTTCTGTTAGTCCCCACTAACCTCAAAACTTGAAAACTGATACTCAAACACAACAGGACGTAACAGAAGTATTCATTGTTACTCTTAAATACTATTCAACAAATGTCCTGATACAGGCATTTCACAAAGTCTTTAAAAACGCCCGCTAGCAGTACGGCGCTATGAGAAATTTGTAAACTATTTATCATTTATATCACAAGCAAAACAAACAAACGCCGTGATTTTAGCCCGCAAGCGAACTATACCGACTGAGCGACCGCCGCTTGAAATTTCTTTGAAATAGCTCCTCAGTTATCTTCTCGAGGCTGAGTGGACCCCGTTCTAGATGCACTACTTCTCAGAAAAAATCTGGTAGCTTCGGGAATCGAACCCGGACCTCTGTAGCCAGGAACGCTGACCACTAGACCACAGAGGCGGTCATTTATAACACACAGTAACAAATTAAATAGTTCATAAGTTGTAATACATTATATCCATAAAAATGTCGCGTCATTCGTTTAAATACGTGCAAAGTAACTAAAACTCTCATGCCTCTGTAGAGTTAAAGGAAATTCTAGCACAGAACACAAACTCAGCCGTCCGTACAAACAGCAACTGAACGTGTAATTCCTCCATATTGCTGGAGAAAACTCGTAACACAAACGTGAATTAGGCTATCTGCTCCGTCCGAACGTATAGTAAGTGAAACTTTAGTGCCTCCATACAGTTAGAGAAGCCTCTGACACTTACCGGTCCGTCCAAACATACGGTACCTGAACATGTGACGTTAGGAAGACCTAGGTTACTTGCTCCGTCCAAGCAAGCAGCAACTGGACACGTAGTGGCTCAACACAGTGAAACACTACACTAACATAAGTGGAATGACACTAAGTGATCAACACATGTTGAGTTACACGAGATCTTATTAAATTATGCGTGAGTGCAGATTTATTTGCGAAATATTCGTACTTTATATCGATTAAAATGATTACGAAATTTGGAAATTCTTCAGTTGTTTATTTTTATATTCACAAGAATACTGGGTGGCTCGAAGCCTAAAATGAATTATTAATTACACCATTCTTGCAGTTAAAGTATTTACATTGCCGTCCTTATATAGTATAGGCTATATGTAACTAAATCAGTTGCTTGAAGAATCTACCTGTACTCCGGACTTCATATATTGAAGAAATATCAATACTTATATATATATTGCTCAAAAGTGACTCCATGATACAAGTTCATGCTTAATAATAACTTTAACGTTGTTTCTGCTTTTACATTATGCATCTGTACATTGAAGAAACCAAAATATGACAAGTAATTGTTTAAATACTGTGAGTAATTGTAACTACCAGTACTGCATATATGTACGTCTGTCGCATTTCTGCCGAGTGTTACACTAATACGGCTGTGTTTTTAAGTTATAATATGCACATATTTCCCTATGAAAGGGGTTTCAATCGATATATGCCTTTATTTCAACTTTGCTTTTTCTATAAAAACGTTTCTTAGAAGTTGTCTACTTATGTTTTACGAGCAAGTTTTTATCTCTGAAGGTAGTCAACTGAGTGGCCGAAACCAAGCAATAAGAAAGACTAATTTCGGACACTAAGTGATTACGTTTAGAGATAAAATTGGACACAAATTTAAATAAATAATATGTATACAATCAAGCACGTGGTCATAACTGCTAAAAATAGTGAAGAAATACGCATTCAGTAGCCCTACATAAAAATCGACTTCCGTAAAATGCTTAGTGTTTTACTGTATAGATGAGATTTTAACAGCATGAGTGTAGAAGTTCAAAGATGTAAGGGCTTATGCTTTCATAGTTGCTGGAGTTAATGAAATCTTCTCAGGCTTTGAGTCATGTGAGTTGGTTAAAAATGGCCGACATTTCAAGGACCATCTGTCCCCAGCACCAGAACCTGCTTCTGATGTGGACAGATGGTCCTTGAAATGTCGGCCATTTTTATGCAACTTATATTTCTCATAGAACGAGAAGATGTTACCAATTCATGAACATTTCGTAGATTATTTGTCCAAATTTGTTCCAATTTGGAATTTAATGCAGAATATAAAAGAAACCTGATTCACATCAATTTGCCTATATGTCATGTCTGAATTGTATTTGGTTATATGCCATTAATTAAAAACGGCTTGACATATGAACAGAATTACAAGCTATGGGACAAATAATAGTAATATAAACTGAAATGTAAGATTTGAGGTTTTCACGGCGGTGACTATGAAGAAAGCAGTCTTCTGAGATTTGGCACCGTGTATATGTGGTGTTAACCGACGTTTCGGAGGAATGTATCGCCTCCATCTTCAGGGTAGAAGGAAAAATATAAGAAATCCGCAAGCGAAGAGACCGTGAGAACCGGTAAAAGCATATAAGTTCCTCCGAAACGTCGGGTAACACCATATATACACGGTGCCAAGTCCCAGAAGACTGCTTTCTTCATAAACTGAAATGTATCTTATAAATCTCGTACACTTTGTTACGACTGAAGTTAAGACTATGACGCATTTCCTATATCACAGATCATGTTATAATTTTAAATTCTTCAAGAAAAAATCCTCTTTCGTTGGTCGTATTAAAGATACTGGAAACAGGAAACATATTTCCGTGTATATCATGCAAGTACCTCAGTATTTTCCATGTTACTTCGTGAAAATATTGCCCGTACTCATTCACGGAGTATAAGCTGTTGTACGTAGCTCTATATTCTCTTTTCTGTTAAAGTAATGCCAAGGATTATAAAGACAACGGCAGTTCTTGTTGAATTATTATTATCAGATATTGAAACGATATTACGATACTTTTACTAACAAGTTCATACCGTAGCTAATATTGAGTTGGCTTCAAGTCAGACCTGTTCTCGTATTATAACTTACATTATGTAAATTTGTTTGTAATCAGTTGACCATGTAGACCTGTTTCTGAATCCAAAAATACAAAGTTCGGGCCTAACTTCAAAAATAGACAGTATACATGATTTGCGGAAACGATAAAACAAGTTTTGCAAATTACAACACGTATTGCCGATACGTCTCTCGTGGTTCATAAAGTCTACATTTATATTACTACCTTTGGTACAAAGTCGCCTACGAAATAAGTAAAAGCATCAACATAAGTGACTTAACTTACTTACTCATGCAGCTGAGTCCTTCTTGAGGAGCCGCCAATTCTGCAGCTACTCAAGAATTTCCCAGCATTTTATGGAACCCGAAGGTTCATTATCGTGTTCACAAGAGATCTCCACTTATCCCTACCCTGAGCCAGGTCAATCCAATTAATACCATCCTATCTCTCTAAGATCCGTTGTTCACCGCCTACGCCTTGGTCTTCCCAGTGGTCTCTTTCCTTCTGGCTTTCCCACCAATATTCTATATGCATTCCTCTTCTCCCCATTCGTGCTACATCCCCTGCCCATCTCATCCTCCTTGACTTGATCATTCTAATTATACTTGGAGAAGAGTACATGTAATGAAGCTCCTCATTATGCAGCTCTCTCCAGCCTCCTCTCAATTCTTCGCTCTATAATGGAGCAACAATCGGTTACAAATTTGTTTTGTTAAGAATGACAAATGATTATTTGTAATTCCGTATTTCAGCATCCTGTTGCACATCTTTAATTAAACGTCTATGTATTTAGTCCGTCAATAATGCAACAATCATTAAAATATTCACCATTCAACACTAACACGACATGTTTCGACCACAGATGACCATCCTCAGGTGTTTCGATGCCTCTAAATTGTTACACTGTTTTAATGCGCGCTAAAATTGCGCGTTGCAGTCCACTTAAATTAAAGTCTTTCGTAAAATCCTATCCACCTCGTCAGGAGCATTGTCCACTTGTTTAAAACTATGTGATGTTTGTATTTCAGCAGCTACGTCTGTGATCTG